CTAAGGCTGTTCTCAAGTATCCGGCCGGTGTTTTTTCTGCACTCACTGCCGCAAAGACTATGACTCTCAACACCGGCCCTTCGACTGCGGCACTATCTCTAACGGGCACAAATAGCTCTCTTTGATAAAATGTCCATTTTCTAAGAAACACCACAGCAGCACCAGCAGCACCAGCACTACCAGCACTACCGCTCTCTCTCTCACCCCTGATCCTCCGAACATGGCGATGGCCGTCTGGACCGCCCTCGTCAGCGGGGAGCACAGGACTACGCTGGGCGCGGGCGAGAGGCCGAGCATCGATTGCCGGGCCCGGCGGACCAGGGCGTGTCCTCTCGAAGACAGGCTGTGAGAGAGAGGGGGCGGGGCGGGGTGACAGTTAAGACTCATCATATATGCGTACGCACATCTGCATGTGATGTATACGTTCGTACAAAGGAATTGGGCTCGGTTTCACGGAATTCGGCCTCCCCGGCATCCCGCCCTAGACCGAAACTTTCAATCTTCAATTCTCTCTCACAGGAGCACCCGCCCGCCCGGTCCCCGGCGACAAAATCGTACTCCTTTGTGTAGAATCGCCCGTGGCGGCGGGTATGCAAGTAAAAATCTCATGGCCTCCTTTGTGGGTGGTGACACCAAGTGACAGGCGAAACGCGACCTCGCTCGTTGCCTTGAATGTGCCACCAAGGCTCCCTCCCGAAGGCCAAAGCAAGGGCCGCTTGTGGTATGTACGGTATGAAAATAGCTGCAACACCGGGATGGGTCTTGCCGGAAAGAGTAAGCAATAGGGTTGGGTACTGAACCAGTACGTACTGCCAGTGCATATGCACTGGCAGTGCATATGCACTGGCTGCGTCAGCAGCCAGTACTCCAGTACATTCTTATATTCGCAGATTTCCTCTGTATTACGCCTCAAGAACCAGCGGAAACCCATATACTCAGACCTCCTCTGAGAGACAATTCTAAATAGTATATTAGAATTGCATATTACTCGAAACAAAATAATTTACGAAGTAATATCGAGCGTAGTAATAAATTAAAATACCTCGTATTAATAATTTAAATCTGTAGGTTTAAAAAGAACAAAACTACTACTTCGTACATTAATAATTAATAATTACCGGGCTAAATAATATAGTCGAGGAATGGGAGCAATCGAACACCCCCGCGGCCGCGAAGAGGGGCTAGGGTAGTGACTGTCTTTGATGGGGAGGATTTTGTGTGCTAGCGGCAGTAATTTGTGCGCAGTGTAGGTTTCGGTTGGGTAGCTTTGGTGCTGTTCGTATCTGTAGCATTCTGCATTCTAGCAAGCTGGTGCTTCTTTTGTTGCGCACCTCCTGTCGTTTCCCGTTTCCTGGTTAGCTTTTTACTTCTTAGCTCTTAGCTGGTTTCTTGGTATACGTTCAGGGCTGCCGTGTCGTTGTGTCCTTCGTAGAGTCCAGTATACGATAGCGTCGCTCATCAACCCAACTGATGGATGCCACTTGGTTGCTTGGGAGTAATATTATAATGTTTCAATATTTCCTCATGTCCAAAACCAACAAATTCAGTCGTTGAACTCGAAGTTTCTATCGTTTTCCCCGCGATAGTGCCTCTGTCAGATGGGCCAAAATCACTCATTTTTTTTGCTCTAGTGAAGCCAAATCGCGTACAAAAGCGGGGCCCTCCGGGGGCGCCTCCGGCGGGGCCCCCTCACCAGCCGGGGGGGGCCGATGGTCGCGGCTGCGCCGCGACCGCGCGGCTTCGCCGCGCCACCAGTGTACTGATCGGATCCAGTTTACTGGCTGCTGACGCAGCCAGTATACTTGTTACTGGCGCGCAGCGCCAGTACCCAACCCTAGCAAGCAATGAACAGGCGGTCAAGCTTACTTCGTGAACACGCGCCTGAAATACTAAGATATCTATAGACTACATACGACAAGACACGATATTCCTTCTCTCCGAAAGGGAAATTGCACATGTTTGAATTAGATTTTCGTTGCGCTTTCTAGCGCGAAGGTCAATCAATTCGTGCTCTGAATCGTAATTGTTGTCGGTGTGGGAAGATATTTCCCCTCATGGAGTTTACGATCCGTTGCCGTTGCACACACACGTGCCAGTATCATCGCTGCACACCGTCACACACAACACGGTTACGTTGTATGTGTGCAGAGGCAGCGCATCATCACTCGGCGGCAAAACCACGAAAGAACCATCCCAGGCACGCCACAGACAATCTTGGCGAAACGGCCAGCAGTGTTGCACATTGATAGTTAGGACCAACGCGTTGTGATTGGTCGGGCGTTGTTCGGCGTTGGTTCTGGCGGCCGATTCCTCTCCAGCGCCCTCTGCCCGTTCCGCATTCCGAGCACGCGGCTGCGCCGCGTGACGCCCAGTGCGCGGCCGCTAGGCCATGCTTTGGCCGTGGGTGAGAGTTAGGGTTAGGATAGATGTGGGGTGAGAAGCCTAGCCTTGCTCGCGTGAAACCTAGCCTTGCTACGTCCAACATCGGGCTCAAAACGGCCGCGCCGACATCTTTGCGCCGGTCAGGCCAGTTAGGTATTTTCTACTGCAGCTAGCCGATGAAGACGGCAAGGAGTGCAATGATTCTCCCGCCAATCTGGACCGCCGCCACTCCGTTGTCTACGGGTGATGCTACCCATAAATTCGTGACCGCTCTCTCGATGCTTGTGAACTTCAAGTGCCCCTAATTAACATATGGATAGCATCGACGACAACATGTCATTCTTCCTGGCAACAATGTTACTGCTGCTGCTGCTGCTGCTGCTGCTGCGTTTCGCTCGGGTCCGAGAGGGGTTCTCTGAGTAAGGGCGTGCAAAAAGCGCACGTGCTGAACTTAGAGCGGGTGTTCGCCTTTTGCACTGCTGACAAACTACATTCAACAACGGGCGCATGTACCGGATTGCTGTTGTGGTTGGCAGGGAGACGGAGGGGCAAGATGGAAGAGGAGGATGACAAGACGGGGTGGTTCAAATACTATGGAGCACAAATGGAGACCCTATCTTGCGAGGCAAGGGAATGAGCCCGGGCAAGCTGGTGACACCTCCGCTGAGGAGGACTTGCGTCCCACAGCAAACGATTTTTGTGCGTAGTCTTACCTGTGGTATGATACATGAAATATATATACATAATCTGATGTCACCGTTGCGAACCCATCCTGCGTCTACAAACGAGCTCATAGTGAAAGAGAATAACTGAAAGACGGCGTGATGGGTCCACCTGTTTCGCCGTGATCAGTCACGAACAAACGAATTGCGACGCGGTAGGCATTCTAGCTCTCGGTCGATGGCTTCACACAACACAACGGAGGGCATCGGAACTGCTTGCCAAGGCAGGTTGCTGGGAGTCGAGCTGGCCTGCTATGCATACCCATGTGAACATCAGGCGCCGACACTCCGAGAGAGCAGAAAGGTGGCAAGGCGTACAACATCAGAGCATGCATCGGCGCAAAAGGCAAGTATCGCACTGCTGCGGGGGAGGGCATCAGCGTGTTCCCCTTCCCATAACCCTCCGGATGCGCTAGTCACTACCGGTGCGCAAACTGCTCGCGATTGATAGTAGGGAACGCCCCCTCTTCGTCTGTCTATGACTCCACACAAACCAACCACACGGGGTGCGAAGGAAAGGGTTCCGCAAGGTAGTGCACCCACGCTGATTGCTTACGGGCGCACCTCGAGTCCGCGTAGGCCTCGCTCAGGTACACCGAGCCCATCGCATCCGCGCTGGCCGCCGCCGCCTCGTTGTGGGTCGCTATTGAGTGCCGCATAAAGCTAACACACGTCAACCCCGCTGCTCCTGCTCCTGCTGCTGAAGAAGATGAAGAGCAAGCTGCTGCCGCCGCTTTCCCCGTGTTAGGAGGAGCAGAAGGGCCGAGGGTCGTAGACAGCGCGGCAGCCCCGGCCAGGGCCGCTCCTGCCCCGCCAGCCGCCGTGCCCGCAATGCTTGCCGAGAGCTGATTCGCAGAAGGTGCAAGCATCAGGTGGTCTTTGTGCAACACGACAGCTTGTGAAGGAGGGTGGGGGTGATGGATGTGTGTATATCGGTTGCGCTGAAAAATGACAATAAAGTGCCCAAAACCGGCTGCCTGACGCTTTCGGAGGTGTCTGGCCTCTGGTGGTACGCACATCGTAGAAAGGCCGATCTAGCCGCATTTTTGCATGCGCAACTGCTGTAAAATGTTCGACGAACAGATTTTTTTCCAGCCGCCTCCTTCTTTCTGAACCCACAAATAAAAAAAGCGTGAACTGCATACACAAGCGATGACAGGGGCACGGGCGCCATGATTCCTCCCTGTCAGGTCGATGTGCTCCTCATGGTACACCCACATACGTATCTGTAACCTCGTCCATCGAGTAGGAAAGTCTGCGCCATTTTCCCCCTCTTTCCTACACAAGCGCAGGAGGGCATCCGGGATTCTCATTCATCAGTCTCATCTCGCAGGGGTAGACGAAATAGTCTTTCTGCGTTTGTATTCATGATTAGTGTTTCCTTTTGTGGTTCCTAATACTTGACTGATGTATGTAACGTTTGGTCTACACGTGCAGAGGCCTCACAAACCACCCTACGAAGGATACCGCTGTAACATCACGGGTATTTTGTCGGAGGAGCTGTGCGTGTGACAAATATCACTCAAGTGCTTTGGGGATTGTGGATGCAAAATCTTTCCAAATGGACTATAAACACAGATTAGATTTTGCATCCAAAATCCCCAAGCCAGACTTCCCTTTCTCCACCTATTTTGCGATATGGTGAAGGAGTGAGTCAGTGTCAACCAGAACTGACCAGGATAGTTGAGGGTTGTCGTGTCCATAACCATCTGCATACATCGGGAGGGCGACACTGGCTGCAATCTTGATTGATGTAGCCAAGGGCTGGATGACGCCCGTTGAGGAAGCAGATTCCCGCCAGCATGTTTCGGCTAGGCTTATACAATCTTTACGATTGTAGATGATGTGAAACATGCCTGCTGTTTCTTGGTGTAAGTATGAGGAACGTCGCCTCCGAATGTCTCATAGATTGTGACGTATCAAATGACCTCCGGGTGTTGCTACAGATTAGCGTTAGTGGACACGCTCACCCGCGTACTAGTACAGCGGGCCAACTGCCTTGCCCCCCTCTCTGAACAATCACCATTGTCGTATACATACCCGTTTTCCCTCTCTCACGAGTGGTTGGAATCCGGTGTGTTCTCCACACCACACAACCTTTCATCCTGTAACAAGCTTGAGCCGCAACGACAATCGTCTCTTCATATAAGCCGGATTTCGAATCCTCGCTGAATGAAATGCCTCGTTGCCTTTGGCTGAACAAGCCAATATCATCCACAATTGTTACTTTGCGAGGGCAAAAATAATATTACAACCAGCAGTACTTGTGTGCGGGGTGAGAATAACGCTCGAACCTTGCGGGAAAAACGCACCGAAATAAGCATCGATCCGCCTTGGTACATGACCACCACCACCAGTTGGAGCGCAAAATTATTTCTCGACCAACGATACAAAGTGCTGACACGTCCTCTCTGCGCTACTGTAATGAGAAGCAGCCCTCGACAGCAGTTATCCTACCAGCACGAACCCTCGCGCTCAAAAAGACCCACATGAACGGTGTGTGCTGCAAAATTCTTCGTCAAACGGGACAACGAGCGCCCTTGCAAGCATCTAGTAATCTCGACACCAGCAACAACGCCAAAATAACCTTGTTCTTAAGCGATGGCTGAGATGTGTCTCCGCACTTCGATGGCCACTTCCTCTGTTCCCGGCACACGCGGACGACGCGTAAGGCATAGGCAACACGGAACGGGGAATGGGGAATGCGCGAAGAGGGGTTCCAAGGGGGTTAGATTGGGGAGAGAGAGGGGTGGTGTGAATGCTATCTATGCGCGTTCTCTCTTTCTCGACCCTCCTCTTACGCCCGGAACACACACAGAAATTTTGTCGAGTCACGCAACAACGACCACACGACCACCTTGTATTCATTCCCGCCAGGAAACTGCGCGCTTCAATCGTCTGCGATTTGTCAACCGTCAATGCCTGGGCGCAACGTGTGCGATCGAGTCCGTCCTGCCGTCAACTATAACCACTATTTAGGTTCTGAGGTACCTATGGTTTGGTCGGAGTTGACCTCTCGCAGTTTCCCTCTGGCCTCGAACTCCTTGATGATGGGCATCGTAGATTCCCGGTACGTCATGAGTCTCTTTCGGATGGCCTCCTCATTGTCATCGATGCGCCCACTGCTTCTGCCACGCTCCATGATGCGCTCCGTCATGATCTGTGTTGTGTGTATTTGAGGGATGGGTATTGGCAGGCAGCAGCCGTCGGCGGACAGCGGTTTTGGGTGACCAAGCTAGCTAATCATTTCTGCCCGTGGCTCATGTAAGGCTGTCGGGGTCTGTGGCTCCCTCCCTCGATCTCGGCGCTAGCCGTGGAGAGGAGCAGGCGGAGGGTAAGACTGCCGGGACCACGAGCTCCGCCGGACCCCAGAGCAAGACGCCTACCCCCTCCCAAGGCGAGAGAGGTCTTGCACATATTACCTGGCAAGCCTACACGGAACGCGAGAGAGGGGAGCCGGAAAATGCTCCTGCAGGCAACAACAACCCCGTACGCCGTGCATCTGCGGAGAACGCATTTACACCGCTGGGAGTCGAGCACCCTAGATCTCGCGGCAAGTGTACTTACACAAGCGGACGTGGAGGCATTTATTTCAACTCACGGGAGAGCGCGTCATGCCCTTCATCTCGCTGGACTAACCGCGACAGGCAGGTGGCTTCGGGGGCCATCACTCATGGAGGTGCCTACACACGGAGCCCCCCCCTGCCGGACACCAAGTCTCAACACACACCTCTTCCGGGCAGTCCAAAAAGAGTGCGAAGTCGACGACGACAGCCCCCCCCGCCGTCGACGCCTCCCAAGCGGCAAGGTTGTCCGGGTTGCGCGGGAATCCATCGATCAGGAAGCGGGATTTCCCGGATTTCTCCATGGCCTTGCGGAGGAGGCCCACGGTTACCTCGGCGGGAACGATCTTGCCTTCCCTGAGAACGACGGTTCCGCGCGTGTTGTTGTTTTGTAGTTAGCCGAGCCGTTTCGCGTGCGCGGTGTTTGACTTCGGGGTAGTGAGAGACATGCAAGAATTGTTGTGGCGGTGAGCTTTCATTCCGTCTATCTTTTCTGGGCGCCAGCCTACCCATTTTTTTGGCTTTGACGGGTGTTCCACGCACCAGTTTGGTGGTGGGGGGGGTGAGGTGGGGAGGGCAACATGGTCTTGTCCTTTTTGGTCAACAAAGCTGCGCACCAGCGCATGCACGGGGGCTACCCACACGCGGTGGTGTCATCACTTGGACTGGGCTGCGAAGCACTAGCACTTTTCAACCGCGAAACGACGGAACCGTCCACCGGGGCAACCTTCCAACTGTCCTCGCTCGGAGTGTTGTCTTACTGTCTGATAGTTAACCATCCGCGTGTGCGCCGATGCATACCGTAGGTGACAATAAAACAGTACAACCCCGGGACCTACTGCCGAAGTTCGACTACTGCAAGTAGACCGTTTCAACGCCGCCGTTGTTGGCACCGCCACCCTACAGCAGTATCTCCCATGGATAAATCGAGCCTTGACAAACGGGTGTGTGATATCTTCTGTCACCTACACATGATAAACATACATCCCGCTTCCCCGTTTGTGGCTTCATACGCATACTTCCTTCAGGTGCAAGCTTGGGTTGTTGCTCGGATTCCGACAAGAGCAGCCACAAGCGCCATATTTTGACGTCGGCAACAAGAGATTGTTGCGAGATTCCCGTAGAAACGTAACGCTCAATGCCCAAGCATACAAATTAGACGCGCACGAGAGGAAGAGATCTGCTCAGGCCTTGGGCTTTCCTGAAGCGCATCTATGCATATCTCAAGGCACAACCTAGATCTACTGCTGTCTGCGGATGTTCTGGGGTGCCTGTTCGATGTACATTTGTACACGTTTTACTCTGAGCAACAGTTCCTGTTTCATGGGGGTCGACAGATATTCAAAACCAGTGATGCGCACTTAACATTACCCGTGTTTCCTCCTCCTCGTGATATGGATGGAGAAGTCCACTCATCCAAGCGCGCACGACTGCCCCATGAAAGAAGCGCTCCGTACAGCGGTACTTCGGTTGAACAACTTACATCGCAAACCGCCGTAACCGGTCATCCGGAGAGTGGTCCGTAAATCGACAGGTCTTCCCTTCGGCGTACTGCTGTAGGAATAGTTCAACGTACAAGTTTGCTCTTCCCGATCATAATACGCGATGTACAAGCTGGGCCAGACGAAAAGCTCACGATCGTTCGTTCGAGCCTCATTCTGTCGTTTCCACGAATGTGGGCTTGAAATTTTGTGGCTGCTCTCATGAGACAGAAGGGGAAGCGCAGATGCCAGAATTTTTCGAATCTGAGTTTCAGGTACTAAACGACCAGTTGGCGGCGTAGGGGGGGACACTTCCGGTGCAGTGAGTGGCCCAATATAGTTCCGGTTGAATAGTGCCGGTTGCCGGTATAGTGCCGGTGTTTTCGGCTCGCACACACCGGAATATCAAGTCTTTCTGTACTCTGAATAGTGCCGGTGCCCGGTATAGTGCCGCTTTGCTCTCTGAACACATACCGGCACTATAGAGGGCCCCCTACTGTACTGGAATCAGCATTAAAAAGTTACACCGAATAAGGTGAAAACTGGTGTACACGTACCTGGGAGCATTGCGAGAAGAATTATTATTGTTTCAAGGGTCAAATCATTTTTTACCAAGAGTAATGGCCTCGTAAGGAATCCGATATAACACACAAGATAGCCAAGGAGATGTGAGGTTCGCAATTACATCACGGTTGGTACGAGTTGGAATCTGAAATTTTGAGGTGTGGTCGGCCTGTAGTATCATGGAGACCTTGACCAGCCGCACCTTTAATTTATTGTGTTTTTAGTCCTCCTATACACAGCACTAGGATTTCTATTTGTACCTCGGGCTACCTTGTGAAAAAAATAAAATAAATAAAGGTGCGGCTGGTCACAAGGTCTTCGCTACACTAGATGATGCCCACCACATGTCAAAATTATAGGTTCATAAAAACCGTGGTGTAAATCGCTTTCAACCATTTTGTACGTTTGTTGGCAGGCCAGCTTGCACATTAAAGCTGCCGCTGCAACCGGTGCGCGTCCCCCAAAACTCAACAAATCTCAAAGGGATCCACTCCTATGTATCCATATATGCATTTGATAAAACGCCGCAGCAGCAGTAGGGAGTGGGTGATGCTGAGAAAGAACACGGGCCGCAGAACAAAAAGTTCGTTGCCCGCTCTCACCGGATGAACTCGTTGATCATGCCGGCGAGCTCTGACCCCGAGTTCCTCTCGGCCCGCAGGAGGTCTCCGGCGGACAAGTGGGCGTAACCGAGGGCCTCCTCTTCCGCTATGAGCGCGCACTGCGTGCCCTTGCCGGACCCAGGCCCTCCCAGGACGAACACCACGTGCGGAGTCGCGCCGACGGCACCACCATTTCTGGCGCCGCGGGATTTCTTTTGTTGCCGGTTGCGGAGTGCCAAAAGCGCAGCGATTCCCACAACACCACTCACGATAATCGCGGAGAGAACCGCGCCCTTTTGTTCTCCAAGCTTCGCCATGATGATGATCCTTGTCTCCCTCGTTACTGCTGTACAAAGGACCTACAACCACGTGTTGCAGCGTTGCAACGTACATGGGGCACCCGCAAACAACAAAACTATTGTTTGATACGTGTATGTAAGGGGTTACGCGCTTTCTCCGACGCCATGATGCACAGCACACAGCAGTAGCGGTTACGCGTCATGGTTTTGGCGAGTCATATGTATTATGATGTTGATACCGTTTTTTTTTCTCTGTATCTTTGGTTCGAAGCTCGACACGACAAGTGGGCGAGAGTTTATGACTAATAGTTTCAAGAAGACGTCACGTTCTGATGGCGAGCACGAAGAATACTCTTTTCCTGTAGAAAATATCACATGTTGTTCTGAAGCTGCAAACGCGAAACAGAGAAAAGCTGCCATGTTTCGCGCAGACTGCAGTTTTGCAGGCGTGTACAGCATCAATTTACAGTTTCCTTCGCGTGAACGGTGGTTTACTCGCTGATTTACCGCCAATAGGTGGTGATGGCCCTCCCATCTCGTGAAGAAAAATCGGGGAAAAAAGGAAGGTGCAAACAAAGTTTGGCGCTGATGGGGATTGAACCCACAACTTCGGGCACCGAATGACCACACATGGATTCCTTCTCTCAAACTTTAAGACAAGGAAAGGACGCGTCATTCGAATACGCCTCTTCGTATTTTTTTCGCGCTTCGCGCGAAATAAATATAGCTCGTTCCCGGGTTGCCCTATCCATGGTCGCTGAGCCATGATGGATGCGAGCGAGATGATATAATCTTCCTGCTTCCTTGTATTATTTTAAATTGTATCGTTCTTTCGTCCCTCGGAGTAACGCTCGAAGGTTCACGCAGGTACTGCTTGATGGGTTCAGGTCAAGGCTTTTAATTCGCGGACAAATGAAACAAGAGTTACCATGGTCGAGATGGATGGGTTTTGTCTGTACACCACGAGCACAAGGGTAATGGTCGTGTCACTGCTACGCTCCTTCTTCCCTTCTCAACTGGCATTCGTGCTGCTGCTGCTGTTCCATTGTGACGTGGACAGCCTGTTTCCAAAGGCTGAACACCCAAATATTGCACATGTGGAGATAAGAACCCCTTTCGCTTCTCGTTGGCTGCATTTGCGGGGATCGACATGACTCCACACCCTCGAGGCGGGGCAAGCTCGTCGGGAGCTGTCAAGGGTCAGGGGGAATGGGGGGCGAAGTGAGAGGACGACGACACCCACATTGAGATATCTTCACCAGGTTCTTGAGGGCGAGTGTACACGTATCTATTCGATGCGACGCGCACAGGTTTGGGGTATCACTCAAACGTTATGCTGCAGTGACGGCGTACTGAACACACTGCAGAAAGGACTGTCGCAGATGCGACGATCCGCACGATTGAAATGTTGTTCTAATTCCATCAATACTAAAATCACGCCGCTTGTTCATCGTCGGTTGAAATTGGGCAGTTCTCCCCAAGCTTGAATAAGTAGTTCGATTCCAGACAAAAACCTACTCCAACGAGCGATTCTCGAGGGATCGCTCTCTTGGCAGGGCCACACAACGAACATGCCCCCAAGCCATTGCCCCCACCCCAAAAACCCCGCGGCTCAGGGGCAAACTCCCCACACACCGGAGTGCCCATGGCAATGTTTCTACGGATCAAAGAGCGCACAGACCTTCACGTACTCCACCCATGGGAATATCATACATTTCGGGGGCATTGAAAAGAACAACGATTGCCCGGAAAAACTGGTGGGAGCGATTAGCTCCGCGAGCCCGTCCAACTTCCGAATAAAACGCGAAGAAAAGTACCGTCCTCAGAATGGCTTCGTGCCAACAAGTGCACCGCGTCAGAGAAGCCAAACCCAGCGCGATACACCCACCATTCAATAGCGGCAAAGCTCAAGAGAACGCATACAGGACGCACAAGCCCACATGGCAAGGCACGCACCGTCTCGCCGTTCAGCACCATGTAGACGAGCAAAAGCAGCGAATCACGGCACCCCGCACAGGGAAAAACAGTGTGTGCCAGCACTCATTTACGTACATCGAAACTACCTACCCGTCAACTACACCAAACCGCCTCATGCGTCATACCCTTGACAAATACCCAATCCACACCATCGAATGCAGGGCGAGTAAGGGCGTTGTCCTCGTCACCCAACATCTACGGTAAGACAACGAAAAAAAGTGACGCTGTGTACACATCTCTGTGCGACCGTAGTCCAGTACCATCACAGATCCTGCCCCTGCCCACGCCGTCTTCTCCCCCAAAACGCTTGGTAGGGAATTATCAGTCAACTGGTGCTTCCTGCGATTACCATCCCGGTAAATGCTCGCGCCCAAGCACGGAAGGTGGAGGATTGGTTTAAGTTAAGGGCTGTCTTCTTCGTCCTGCGTGACACCAAACGCGGACAGCAACACGACGCAGGCGGCGCAACAGAGGATTAGCACAGAGAGGAACCCTGCGGCGACAGAGGGAGACGCGGCATTCGCCCCGAGGCAAGATACAGCGACTGTCACGACAGTCTCGCCCGGAATACCCAACGCAAAGTTTCCATATGCAGTCTTGTTGGACGGAATCACCCGTCGCATGTACGCACTTGCGCGAGAGCTGGTTCGTACGAAACGGCACTCGTCCAACACCAAAGGTAAGTCTCACATATACTGTACAGCTACAATGTTCATGCTTAAAGAGGACTGCGCAAAAAATGATTATAAGGGCGTATAAACGCTTCACCCAAAATAGTAGAACCGTCATTGTACGTAACATTCCTGCAATCGACCTCCTCCACCCAACACTCAGAAAAGATATCGGCACAAAAACATGAACAGTACCACATACAACAACTACCAAAGAACATCGAAAACTGGTCCGTGCACGCAAAAGACCCGCCACGGCTCGCGTTGCCTCAAACCCCAAACAAAACCTGCTGAGAGTCATACACACTGAAAAACTCTCCAAACACACAACGCAGCAAGTCCTACACACGGCGGTGTACACACCAACACCTTTTTAGATACCTCGTCATCATCTTCGTCGTCGTCGTCTTCGTCCTCGTCTTCGTCTCCGTCCTCTTCGTCAGCCTCCTCCAGCCAGGTTACGAACGGAGTGGCCTTGGCGCGCAGCGCCGCCACCTGTTCGTCGCTTAGCGCGGGCGGCGTGAACTCGTCGGAGCGCCCCTGCTCCCCGGCCCACATGAGCATCGCCTCCTCCTCAACGATGTCCGAGTCGTACAGGTGCTTGAGGATCACGGGGAAGAAGCCCATCAGGTTGGGGCGGTGCACCTGTTGAGTCGTCCCGCGTGTCGCGGAAGGAAAGCAAGCGCACACGAGGGGGTTCTTGAGGGGCCGTGGAGGGGGGGGG